ACTACTACTACTACTACTACTACTACTTCTACTACTAGCAATATTACTACTACTATTACTACTACTACAACTATTACTAGTACTTCTTCTACTACTACTACTACTTATACTACGCCGACTACGATTATTACGACTACTACTGCTTCTGCTTCGATTACTATTACTACGACTACTACTAATACTACTACTACGACGACGACTACTACTACTACGACGACGACGACTACTACTACTACCACTCCTACTACTATTACGACTACTATTACTACTTCTTCTCCTGCTACTACCAAAAACAACACCAACGCTTGCTGCTACTACGTCTACTACTACTCCTACTACTACTACTACTACTACTACTACTACTACGACTACTACTACTACTACCACTACTACTTGTACTACTACCACTACTACCGCTACGACTACCACTACCACTACCACTACCACTACCACTACTACTACTAGTACTGCTACTACTACTACTACTACTACTACTACTACTACTACTACTACTACTACTACCATTACTACCACTACCACTACCACTACCACTACCACTACCACTACCACTACCACTACCACTACCACTACCACTACCACTACCACTACCACTACCACTACTACGATGATTACTACTACTAATACTACTACTACTACTACTACTACTACTACTACTACTACTACTACTACTACTACGACTACTACTACTACTACTACTACTACTACTACTACTACTACTACTACTACTATCACGACTAATACTACTACTACTACTACTACTACTACTACTACTACTACTACTACTACTACTACTACAACTACTACAACTACTACTACTACGTTGGTTCCAGGTGGGAATTACTGTGGCCACTTCTGCCTGCGCGGGAATGCATTCCCTTAATGGTTGCGAATCGCTCCAGATGTAATATGAGATACCTTCACATATTCCTTTTTATTGAACGGCCAGCGCGGGTCACAGTAACTCCCATCCGACCGCGCGACGGACCACACTAACACCCAACGGGCCACACTAACACCCAACGGGCCACACTAACAACCGGTCGCCCCAAAGAGGGCCTCCGGGAAGGCCCGAAGAGGCAAAAATCATTGATTTTTTTAAGGATTTTGAAAAGGTTTTGGCATTTGCTTCTGTTCGGCCTTCCGACGGCCCGAGACGGCCTACAAGCTCCCAAAGGTCGCCCCAAGATCGCCCAATAGGCCTTCCAAGATGGCCACAGAACGGCCCAAGAGACCCCGAAGACGGCCCCAAGAGGGCCCCAAGACAGCCCAATAGGCCTCAAAGACGTCCAAGATGGCCTCCAGGATGGCCCTGGAGCACCCCAACAGGGCCCCAAGTCGGCCCAGAGAGGCCCTCAAGACGGCTTCCGAAGGCGTCCCGCCAAGATGGCTCAAGACGGCCCAACAGGCCCCCAAGAGGTCTCCAAGACGGCCCCAGAGGCCCCAGAGATTGCCTCCAGCAAGGCCCGAAGATGCCAAAATCATCAATTTTCCAAAAAAGGTTTTTGAAGGATTTGGGCATTTGCTTTTCTTCGGCCTTCCGACGGCCCGAAATGGCCCAAGAGCCCCAAGGATCGCCCCAAGATCGCCCAATAGGCCTTCCAAGATGGCCCCAGAGCGGCCCAAGAGACCCCGAGGACGGCCCCAACAGAGCCCCAACACGGCCCAAGAGGCCTCCAAGACGCCCAAGATGGCCTCCAAGATGGCCTTGAAACACCCCAAGAGGGCCCCAAGTCGGCCCAGAGAGGCCCAAAAGACGGCTTCCGAAGGCGTCAGACGGGCCAGAAATGCCCTAAGACTGCCAAAGAGGCCCCCGAGAAGCCCCCAAGGCCCCCAAGAGGCCCAAGGAGGCCCCCAAGATACCTCCAAAAGGCCCCCAGGAAGCTCCAAGGAGGCCCCAAGAGTGCCCCAAGAGGCTCCCAAGATGCCCCCTCCCTCCTCCCTCCTCCTCCATCCTCCTCCTCCTCCCCTCCTCCACCTCCTCCTCCTCCTCCTCCTCCTCCACCTCCTCCTCCTCCTCCTCCTCCTCCTCCTCCTCCTCCTCCACCTCCTCCTCCTCCTCCCTCCTCCTCCTCCACCTCCTCCTCCTCCTCCTCCTCCTCCTCCTCCACCTCCTCCTCCTCCTCCTCCTCCTCCTCCTCCTCCTCCTCCTCCTCCTCCTCCTCCTCCTCCTCCTCCTCCTCCTCCTCCTCCTCCTCCTCCTCCTCCTTCCGATATTCCCCGCCATCGTCCCCCAAGTGTTCCCCGAAGGGTTTCTACAGGGCTGGGGGAACACATGGCCCGGTAGCTTGGCAAAGCTCTTGCCACGACGCTCGGCCACATTGGCGATTCCAAAGGGCAGGCGGCGGCGGTGATTCGCGTAGTCGTCTTCGATAACGCCAACGTCTCAATATGCACTGATGATTCCTCTCCGCCCCCGCATGATGTTCCCAGACGCGCCAAGGCAGCGCCGAGACGCACCGACGCGACTCTGATATATCCCATTATGGTATATAAGGGGCAGGCGGCAGGGGGCAAAGCCCTTACGGATACATACAGGTTCTTCGAAGTACGCATACGCAGACGACAAGCACTCTGCGCACACACACACACACACACACACACACACACACACATACACACACTCACACGAGCACGTGCACTCTCTCTCTCTCTCTCGCACACAACCGTCGGCTGCGCTGTGCAAAGCTGCGCTGCGTCAGAAGCAGGAGCCAGCTGCTCTCCGTGTGGCAAAGCCGTGAGTTTGACCGGTTCCTATCCCCACGGGCGTGGCCGTGGCCCGACTGGCCGATGGGAACATCTGCTATGACCATCGGGGCTCGCGGGGCCAATCCCCACCTGTAGGGTTGGGCTGGTGGGACTGAGATACCACGGCCCAGTGGGGACGGAGATCAGTTAGACGATGCCGAAGGACAGCAACAAGCCTTCTCGCAATGAGCGTTACGATGGAAATCCTGGAGGCCTCGACCTAAAGCCCACGTTGCTCCCGATCCACGTCGGATTTGTGCCGGATGCACGACGGACTCCAGTCGGGTTGACGTCCTCACATCGCCGCGCGAACGTCCCATCTCTTACGGCGCGAAATGTGGACTAGCTGATACAGCCCTGTTGCGCGCTCTATGATTTTCTTCATAGTGAGCGGGCTGCCTGTCCCCCAAATGCTGCAACCTGCGAGGAGCGCGCGAGCTCCTGCGCCAGCCGCTCGTCGCGCTGCCGGGCGGACTCGTACAGCTGCTGCCAGCGAGGCTGCCCGCCCGAGTCCAGGCTGGACCGGCTGCTGGGCATGGAGGTGTACACGAGCCTGCCGTGCGGACAGAGAGGTTTACAAGCGCCACTGCATCAAAGGATAATGCAATCGGGATCCGATCCACGGAGCAGCGAAAGTTTTGAAACTCCAGAGGCCTCTACGACAAGCGCGCCGAGAAAACGTCCGCCCCATCCGCCCAAAGTCACTTCCACAGCTTCACAAGAAACGGTTTCGCAGGGTGGCCACAAGACATGCTGGGCCGCATTGAGGCCCTTTTGAGGCGCTTGGACGTAGCAAGCCCCGAAACGGCGGGTGGTATGTGAAAAGAAAGGAAACCTATTTGTTGGCGAGTTTGTCTCTCTGGGGCGTCTTGAGGGTCCTCTTTGGGCCCACTTGGGCTGTCATGGGGCCACCTGAAGGGGGCGTAGAGGCTATCTCTTGCCCATCTTGGCATTATGTGTAGCCGTCTTTGCAGGCAAGGACGGCCATCGAGGACCATCTTGGCCGATTTGGAAGCAATCTTGGACAGTCTGGGACGCTATGAGAAACCTGTGAGCCTGAGGAGGTTGATCCGATCTTGTTTGTTCCAACCCTTCGCAGGATCCGATGTTCGTCTGATGCATTGCTTTCAGAGACCGAAGACGCCGATGTAGCAAAACCATTGTAAGACGCGACCTCGTCAGCTCTTCTGCTATCCAGGCAGGCCACCTCAGGCGGATGCCTCTCCCATCCCAGCGCGGTCCTGAGCCACGTGAGAAGGCCCAAGAGGCCCCCGAAAGGCTTTCCGACGAAGGCCCGGGAGCCCCCCGACGGGCCCTTTCTCAAGAGGCATCCGAGAGGGTCCAACAGGCTCGGCAGACGGCCCACCAAGGAGCATCGCTGAACCGATCCCCATCCCCAGCGGCGTGGCCTGGGCCCCACTGGCCGATTTACCCCCCAATAGATGGGGATATGGGCAGTTCCCTTCGGGCTTCGAGGGGTGCATCCCCAAGTGGGGTGGTAGTTTGGTGGGGGCCTCGAGGGGGATGGGGACGGGGATATGGGGATCAGTTGACCGATGCCGAATCGAGGCCCATTGGCGCCGTCAGCACAGCCCAAAGGCCCCCCGAGCTCCACCACCGCGCCCAGCGCCAGACGGCCTGGGCCCACGAGCGTCGGGCTTCGCGCGCCCCGCGGGGCGCGAGGCGCGCTGGCCTTCGCGCCCCGCGGGCTCCCCGCAGCGCACGCCGTGCCTCCCAGGCAAGCCCAGGCCGACCCTGACTCCTCCTCCTCCTCTTCCTCCTCCTCCTCCTCCTCCTCCTCCTCCTCCTCCTCCTCCTCCTCCTCCTCCCCCCCCTCCTCCTCCTCCTCCTCCTCCTCCTCCTCCTCCTCCTCCTCCTCCTCCTCCTCCTCCTCCTCCTCCTCCTCCTTTTTGCTGTTATTGCAACGGAAGGGGGGTGAACAGGAAACGGAGGAGGACAGGGAAAGGAGGAAAAGGAGGGGCTGAGGACGGCCGTGCACCTGGCCACGGAGCGCAGCTGCATATGGTAGATGGAGCCGTGTGTAAATACCCCTCTCCCCGACCCTCAACCCCACGATCGTCCCCGCCTGCTTCCTAGAGCCCTGTGTCGTAGCCACTGTGTACAAATTTTAGAGCCACCCACCCTGCAGACATTCGTCCGGCACACTCCTCCCCAACCCTCCACCACGGCCGATCGCACATGCTTCCTGGATCCGTGTCCCGTAGCCACTGTGTACATGTTCTAGAGCCACCCACCTTGCCGAAATCCGTCCGGCACCCCCCTCCCCAACCCTCCACCACGGCCGACTCCGCCTGCTTCATGGAGCATTGTTCCGTAAGCACTTTATACAGGTTCTAGCGCCACGCACCCTCCAGAAATCCGTCCGGCACCCCCATCCACAATCCTCCACCACGGCCGACCCCTTCTGCCTCCTGGTGCCTTGTTCCGTAACCACATAATACACATGTTAGAGCCATGCACACTGCAGAAATCCGTTCGGCATCCCCCTCCCTCACCCTCCACCACGGCCGACCCCGCCTGCTTCCTGAAAACGGCGGGGTCGGCAGCTTGGTCCCGCCTGCCGATCCCGCCTCGAGGAAAACACATGGTGCCAGCTCGGGAAACCATGTTAGATGCACCCCTGAACAGCCTGGACACGTCAAAACACGTGGTCCTTGCTCAGAACAATCATGTTAGATACCCCCCTAGGTGGCCTGGATATGTAAAAACATATGGCTCCAGCTCGCGACCACCATGTTAGATACCCCCCTGGGTGGCCTGCATACGTAAAAACACGTGGTTCAGCCCACCCAGGGGGGATATCTAACATGCGGTCGTCTGGAACGCAAGAGGGCCCAGGAACGCCCAGAGGCGCCTGGAGGCCAAAAAGTCAACGAATCGATACCAAATACACATAAACTCTCGACATTCCGTTCCGAGTCCCAGGATCCAGGAGGCCCATGTTAGATACCCCCTGAGTGGCCTGGACACATGCAAACACGTGGTTCCAGCTCGGGACCACCATGTTAGATACCCCCCTGGGTGGCCTGCACACGTGAAAACACACTGCTCCAGCGCAGGACCACCATGTTAGAAACCACGCTGGGTGGCGTGGACACGTGAAAGCACGTGGCTCCAGCTCAGCAGCACCATGTTAGATACACCCCTGGGTGGCCTGCACACGTGAAAACACGCGGTTCCAGCGCGGGGCCACCTTGTTAGATATACCCTCTGGGCGACCTGGGCACGTGAAAACACGTGGTTCCAGCGCGGGACCACCATCTTAGACACCCCCTGGGTGGCCTCGACAGGTGAAACACGTGGCTCCAGCTCGGGCCCAACATGTTCGATAACGCACCTGGGTGGGCTGTACACGTGAAAACACGTGGCTCCAGCGCAATACCACTATGTTAGATACCCACCTGTGTTGCCTGGACACGGAAAACGTGGTCTTAGCTCGGGACCACCATGTTAGATACCAACCTGGGTGCCCTGGACACGTGAAGCGACGTGGTTCCAGCTCGGGCAGAGCATGTTAGACACCCCCTCTGTGTGGCCAAGGCAATTCTGGAAAAACAAACGAATTAGTGGAGACATCCTCGAGATTCCTGCGCGCGGGACGCGGCACGCGCGAGACATCTTCGGAATTCCTGCGCGCGTGACGCTTTTCCGCGTCGCGGTCGGGTAAAAAACCGTGGTTCCAGCTCGAGACGACCATGTTAAATACCCCTTTGGGTGACCTGGACATGTAAAAGCAAGTGATTCCAGCTCGGGAAAACCATGTCAGATACCCCCTGAGTGGCCTGGATACGCTGAATTCGCACTCCCGCTCGAGACATCCTCGCTATGTCTTCCCTGGAGAGGCCCCCAAAGCGCCACCCCCTGTACAGAGCAAGAAAACATTACTTTTCTGTTTTAGGATATGTCTTCAGTTAGCGCATTTCGGCCCCCCGTGCGTTTCCTGATAATTCGGCGTTGGGCGCGACGCCATGTTGGATATCCCCCTTGGGCGGCCCGGAGACGTAGAAACACGTGGTTCCAGTTCGGGACAATCATTTTAGATACCCCCCTGGGTGGCCTGGACATATAAAAACATATGGCTCCAGCACAGGACCACCATGTTAGGTTCCCACCTTGGTGGCCTGGACACGTGACAACACGTGATTCCAGCTCGGCGCCACCATGTTAGATACCCCCCTGGGTGGCGTGGACACGTAAGAGCACGTGCTTCCAGCTTGGGACCACCATGTTAGATACCCCCCTGGGTGGCCTGGACACGTGAAAACACATGGTTCCAGCTCGGGACCACCATGTTAGACACCTCCCGGGTGACTTTTTGTGAATCGGTCTGGTCCCCAAACCTCGTTATTTCTGGTGGATTCCGCACAAAACGCGCCGCACCCTCTTTCTACGAAGGAAAACGGTCGTCTGCGGACCCCGTGATTGATCGAGGATCCGAGATGGGGGGCAAACTTTCCTCGAGCGGGCACGCGGGCACTGGAAAGTCACACTTCACCCCGTTATCTATCGCAAAATAATTTCGCCGGCCCTGGAGCCGTCGGTTCCGGGGGTGACCAACTAGAAGGGAACCCTGGGCCAGAGCCTTTTCCGGGAGAAAAACAAGGTGCGAGCCCTGGGATGGGGCACTTCAATCGAAAAAGTACAATGTGCACCGGGCGGGGGGGATCAACAATGATTATTCTTTAGAAAAGAGAATTCAACAACAACAACAACAACAACAACAACAACAACAACAACAACAACAACAATCATTTTACCCGAACGCTCAGTGTTCTCACCAGTGCCAGGGTTTTCATGCGACGCGAGACAATACCCCCACTTCGTGGGGGGGCAGTTCAAGCTCTACCAAATATCCAAACGACTCTTCGCGACCACCCAAACCCAGCTTCCCGCCCTATGACGTTGGGACACTTCACTTCGTGGCGTGCGGACGACCGTGGCTACTACACTGGCGTGGGGTACACACCCACAGAACTTGGTCACTTATTCGGGGCGCGCGTGTGCCCAGCATCCTGCAATTGTGACATACAATACATGACACAGACAGACAGAGAGAGAGACAGAGAGCAGACAGAGAGAGAGACAGAGAGAGCGGAGTTGGTCACATTTTTGGGGCAAGTTCCTGAGATCGTCGTGTTTTTTGTTGGTCTTGCGCGCGCGAATGTCCACTTTACTTTTTTTTGCAAGGGAGTATTGAAATTTGATTATGTTAGAACAAGAAAAAGTAGCTCGCGCGAGCTCATGTAACATAAATGTTGAAAAACCATTGGTTTTGTGGGAGTCGGACAGCGCGCGCGGGATGAAATTTGGACATTTTTTTTTGAAAAACCATTGGGTTTTTGATGTTTTTATGTTGAAATCGTACGAAACCTAAGGTTCTGGAAGGATTTCGTCTTGCGCGCGCGAATGTCCACTTTACCTTATTTTTTGCAAGGGATTATTGAAATTTGATTATGTTAGAACAAGAAAAAGTAGCTCGCGCGAGCTCATGTAACATAAATGCTGAAAAACCATTGGTTTTGTGGGATTCGG